AGTACTTTCAAAGCAAATCGCACCAGCACCATTGAGGTAGGAAGCTCTCTACCTCTCTCATGTCTGACGTCATATAACCTGCACCCAACGTGGATTAGGTAGAGACCCCTAAGCCTTCATGCCTAGCGTGGCAAAGTCCCACGCCCGACTTCAATCCAACTCGAAATGATTCTCTCTCCTCACATCCAATGTCATTCCTTTAGTGCCCGACGTCAATCTAGGCAGAGCTAAATCTCTCACCTCATGTCTGATGTCATTCAAACCATGCTCAATGTCATGTCAACTTGAGACAATTCTCTCTTCTCATGCCTGGCGTCACCAATCTTGCATCCAACATGAGCAAGAAAGAGTACCCTTGGTTAAAGCCACACCCAACATCATGAAGGTGCAACTAGCATGATGGTGAGTTTTGCACGTAGCAGATTCAAATTGCCTCAAACTACCAAGTAACAAATCATTCATATAACTCATCAACAATCCATTCCATATCAAAAGGGGAAAATGCAACATTAATTGAGATCAAATCATTCAAATTTCATATTCACGGGCTCAAAGCACCTGAAAACCCACCATTTTCATCATACTATCCAAAAATCCCAGATAATCACATTTGATAACAACCAAACCACTACAACTTATACCACTCATCAGGAACAAGTTTCTAGCTTTCCTTACCATGGATTCGGAGATAATGAGGAAGAATGAAGAAGAAAAAAAATGAAGAAGAAGAAATAGCTCTGAGCTAACCTCAAAGCGCTACACCAACTTAGATTCTAACTCCTCAGCTTGAATCTCAACTTCTACTATGCCAACTAGCTAACAAGGAAAGAAAAGGGACCTCCTAATGGAATCAAATCGACAATCAAACTCTAGTAGCCTAAAGCACTTCTCTCTAATTTCTTTTTAAAATTTTATAGTTATGAACTTATAATATTCATTCCTCCATATTCATCTTATAAATCTCAACCTTCTTTGGTCAACTTTCGGCTTTTTGACTAAAGTGGGGTTGTTTTAAAAGTTTATTACGTAAATGAGGTTGTTTTGAAACTATTTACGCCTTTGGGGCTGTTTATAACGGTGTCGCTATGGGCCATAGCGACACCGGTAACACGTGACATTTTTTTCACTTCAGGGAAGCCATTAAAGCCATATAGATAAAGTCGCTACAGCCCATAGCGTCACTAAACGGCTTAAATAAAGTCGCTATAGCCCATAGCGCCACCAAACGGCTTAAAAAAAATAAATTCAAATGTAAAAAAAAAATTAAGTTAATAATTTAAAAAAAAAAAAATAGTGGCACTATGGCCTATAGCGACACAGTGTCGCTATAGGCCAAAGCGCCACTGTGATAAATAATAAAGTACATATTTAATTCGTGATAAAATAATCTAAAGGAAAAAAATATATATAAAGAAAAGAAATTACACAAAAAATAAGTTTATAAATAGAAATTAATATTTAATTTGTAATATAAAATAAATAAATTTTAAAAATAATTAAGTAAATAATTCAAATAAAAAAAAATAGTGGCGCTATAGATATGTATAAAATAAACAAATTATAGAAATAATAAATTTATAAATATATATTTATATGAAATTGATAATATAATTTACTAGAATGTTGAGTATATAATAATTTTTAACAGATATATTTTATTTAAAAAAACTGGGCAAAAAATAAGTGAAGGAAAAAAATGTAGAAAAACAAAAATGAAAAAGAAAAACTGGTAGAATAAATCTGGAGAAAAAAAGAGACCCAATAACCCAAAAAAATGAAAAAAAAAAAAAAGCTAGTGTCGCTATGGGCCACAGCGACAC